CTTCAGAAAATGAAAATCCAGCCCACTGAGGCCAATAGAAAGGAGCATAAAGTATGACAGGTTACATGTAAGATGGAAATTAGGAGTGCTAAGAAGGAATTTGAAGAGCAAATAGCCAAAGATGCAAAAGCAAATAATCCTATCAGAAGCAGGAAGCCTGTGAGAGAATTAGTAGGTCTATTGGATACAGTGGAGTCTAGGGAACAATTAAAAAGGGTAAGAACACTTGAAGGTATGTCTACATGGCAGTTAGATCCCAGGGCTGGCCTGTGCCAGCTGACTTGGGCTCCCCAAGCTCGGGTGAAGGGGCTGTTTAATTGTGGTGTAGATGTTTGGGCTCAGGCTGGAGCTCAGGCTTTGGGACCCTGTGAGGGAGTAGGGTCCCCTTGGAATTAATCCAAGAATTCTCAAGGCACTTAAAAATAAAGAATAAAATTTTCAAAAGCACCCAGTCCCATTGACTTTCGGTGTCTCCATTCCTTGGCACAGCATCCTGGCACTTAGGCTTGTAAGTCATTTAGGTGATTTGGAAAATTCTAACCAGACTGGCTAATGTGCTAACAACAGTATGCACTCTATCATTAAAATCAGATGATAATACTGGTTTGACTTACCTTTTAAAAAGGTTCTAGGTTTGATCTTAGAAACTACAGACCAGAAAATTTATCGTTGCTCTCGGGGGGAAAAAAATGAAATGCTGATAGGTTTTGGATGCCAGCTATAATAATGGGACTTCTTTTCCTCCTTTCCTTTGTTTTGGCCATTCCCCAATTATACTTCCCTTCTAGTATGCCATCTCATCTGTATTTTTCACTCTTATCCACTCTTTTTTGTTCATTTTCTCCATTTCATTCTGTTTCTGACTCCCACCACTGACCTTGAGGGTCTGGAATTCAGTTTGGGAGCAAGACAATGAAATTGCCGTCGTCCACCATTTGCATGACACACTAGGCACATCCTACCCTACGTATGTCCAAAGAGATGATTATCATACTGCATTGTTAAAAGCAGACCCTTGCATCCTTCATAGTATAACAGGGGAGATATACACACTTAGAAATAAGTGGAAGGGGGGAAGATGAGAATAAGAAAACGCTCACAGAAGGAGCGAATTAAGCTTTTTTTTTTTTGTTTTTTTGTTTTTGTTAAAGTATTACAGCTGAGTCAATGTTTTTTGGCATCTCTCTTTTCCTCAAGGCTTTCAGAAGATCCTGTGACAGATTTACAAGAAAGATGAGGAGTCCAATAACTGAGTCACCCACCAGAGAACGATGATTATAATTAACATTTATGTAGTGCATTTTATCTCAAAAGTTCCCAAGGCTCTGAACAAACAATAGACACAGCACCACGGAAGTGCAGCCATCTCTGGGGGGACACAGTGGAAGCCAACCGATGTACAGCATTCTTAACAACAGTGAGGGGAAGAAAAATTGAGGCAAAGAAATGGAAAGAAAACCCCTACTCTTAGAAAGTGTCAAGAGATTGTCAACATTCACACACAGAAGACTGGATCTCAGTTTTTATGCATCCATTTACAATCCCCCTTCCTGCCTCAAACAGTATGGAACATATAGAACTATTCCCTTTCTCTACCTCAGAACAACAAAGAGCTGAGTCAGCTCCGAGAATTTGGTTTGCTGGAATATTGAGGGATGATGGATGAATTAGTTTAGATAATATGAGAACTAACTTGAACTTTAGCCCAAATCTCAACAAGAATCTTTGTTTATATTTGAAAAAGTTTAATTCCTCTTCAGCACCCCCATTTTCACAGCACTTACTGGTTTGAAAAATGTCAGAATGAGAGAGAAAATGAGTCTATACTAGAGATACTTTGATCTGCACCGAAACTAGGCACTACTGAGGTAAGCAGGTGAACTTTTAAGTACTTAACTATTGTTCAGGCAACATGGTCTAGGGGTTAGGACAGATGAGGGAGTCAGGAGATCTTCATTTGACTCACTGCATGACTTTGACCTGTCTCTGACTTGCCTCATCTGAAATACTTATCCCGCCTTTGTAATGCACTTTCTAGACCTTCATTTAATGGCATCAGAGTGCAAAACTATTCTCTAAAGCTTCCAAGGTTAACTTCTTGCTTCTGATACAGTAGTAAGAGTTTACAGGTGGATAACATGAAGTTTGTGGAGATGAGGGAAAATCTAAGGCACTTTGGTTTGGATAATGTTCCACATGAATGGCTGAAAAGTCCAGTTCTTCTATTTCATAGAATCATAGAATATCAGGGTTGGAAGGGACCTCAGGAGGTCATCTAGTCCAACCCCCTGCTCAAAGAAGGACCTAATCCCCAACTAAATCAAGCCTGACCGTAAAAACCTCTAAGGAAGGAGATTCCACCACCTCCCTAGGTAACCCATTCCAGCGCTTCATCACCCTCCTAGTGAAAAAGTTTTTCCTAATATCCAACCTAAACCTCCCCCACTGCAACTTGAGACCATTACTCCTTGTTCTGTCAAATTTCTGTGAATTGAACCATATGCTGATTCTGATGAAGTACATAACCATATAGGATACATATTGTTTGCAGAACATAGAGCTGCATGTTTAACTTCCCATCACTGCTGTAAGCAATGGCCAGTAACTAGCATAAGGATTTGTGTGAAAGGGAAAGGCAGAGGTTTTTTCTGGTGACAGAAATGTTTCCAGGAAAAGCAGTTCTTCTGGGAAAGGAAGGCACAATATCAGAGAGAGTATGGACAGCACAGACACAAAGGACCATATCTGAGGAGCTGAAGTACATCCAGAGAGAACCCTAAGTAGGTTCTTTTTACCTTCTTGTGATCCACCTTTTAACTTGCACCTACTTACCAAACTGTAACTGCCTGTATTATGAGCACCTGCTACAGAAGACAAGGAGGAAACAAAGCAGGAGCCAGCCTTGGAGTCCTAGAATAACCAGAGTGGCTAGCTGCAGGAATGATCAAAGGGAGAAGGAACTGGGTAGCCTGGCAGTATGGCCAAGAAGAAGTCCAGATAGCTGAGCAGCAAGTACAGCAGAGAAGGAAACTGAGTGACAGAGACGTGCAGGTATTGAGGAATAGGGGAAGGGAAATGGGCGGCAGAGAAGCATGTGAGGAGCAGAAGATTATATGAAGAGCAAGAGTATAATTATTTCTTCTGAGAGAGGAGAAAACACTGTTGCATTAGATAACTAAAGTACATAGTTTTCTAATATTGATTTTCCTTATAATAAATCGCTATAGTTGGCCAGAAGGGTGTCATGAAATTGTGAAAGGGAAGGCAGACTGTCTGCAAGGCAAGTTGATGCTGTCTATTCCTGCTTCTGCAGCATTATAGAGAGAGCACATTGCATAATCTAATTTTAGTAATATCTTCTGTAGCTTCCCTTAAGATACTGACCCATCATCTGACAGGCCTTATTTGGAATAGTTTAAATTAGAATGTGTTTCACAGAGGACTTTCCCACATATATATTTAGATTTAAAAAAAAAAAAAAAGTAAAAGGCAAGATATTGCTGTGCATCCAGCTCTGTTTTCTCCCCTTATTGTACATCACTACAACTAAAAATCTGGATTGGAATGTCAGCATTTCTCCACTATAAACAACACCATTTCCCCCCTTTCATTTTTAACCCCTTAAAACAACATTTACATACTTTATTCCAGAAATCAAATGAGCAGCTACATCGAAGGGTGATATCAGTGCCACTCCTTTTACCAACAGATGATGTCAGTGCATTGAGAAATGCCCAGTCCCAGTCTCTGAGGCCTACCTGTATCACCTTTGTGTGTCATCCAAGTTTCATCTGCTGCAGGAATCTGTTCTTAATTTTCATACTTCTTATGAGAGATGCTCAAACTTTCAGGATCTGAATTTTCCCAAAGTGCAGGGGATGAGGATGTTTGGATCAAGGTATTTTGGTTTGGATCCATCTGTAATATTAACTTACAGTTTACTACTTTATCTGAATTGTAGCATGATGGGACTGAGGAAAGATTTCCTCATGTCCGGATACAAACAAAAAGGGCTTGACCAGGCTTTAAAGTAAACGTCTAGATCAGGAAATCATTTATGGGATGCTTAAGTAGACTCTAGGGAGGGTTTAATAATTTTAATTTCCTTTAATTTGACCTTAGGGCATTTTTCATGAGCTTCCTCATTTTTGAAATTCCCCCTCATCCCTCACCTCTGCCCCCTCTCTCCAATTTATTAATTATTAGGGACAAATGCAGCTCTTAGTTACACCTGTTTAAACCTGGAATAAATCCACTGATTTCCATGGAGTTGCTTGTGATTTACACTGGCATAAATGATAGCAGAATTTGGCCTTTACCTACCCACTGTCTGATCTCTCCCCTTCCCCCCCCCAGGAATTTGGCTTCCTCTTAGCTTCAGTTTTGCAGCTTGCTAGTAACTCTCACAATTTGTATTAAAGGCAAAAATGTAAAATGTTTTAAAAGTGGACAAAGTAAAATAAACAAATGGACAGTGGCATTTAGTCTTACAGACAGAGATCCTTTACTTTATAAATACTGTGTGTCAAATTCTGGTCAATTAAGTCCATATTTATTCTGATTACAAATGACAGCAGCATCTGGCCCAAAATTATGCTAAGCTGGACAAGATCTTAGGGTCAGAAAAATGTTGAGATCAATAAGGTAAAATAATATTCTGGGTAATGTAAAAAAATTTATTTTACATTTGCAGTTCACCTTCTTTGGACAAAGAATGTCTCCCTGTCTGGTTTTCCAGGACAGTTTTAATGGAATTTTGACATCTCTGTGATTTCTTTGCATGAAGTGTAAATGATCACAGGTTGATCCGTTGTAAGCCTGAGAGACTGAAAGACCCTATAACAAAAACCAGAAGTCTATTGCAATCGGGAGTCTGACAATATCATTTTAAAGCTAATTTTCCTTACTTTTCCAGTGGGAGGGTATGATGTCATTCTCTCTCCTCCCACTGTAAACTAAGCTGCTGTCAAAGTTTGCTGCCTCTGCCACTGAGAGAACAGTTCACTTAAGTGCAGCTGCAGTGCCTTGTTCTGTGATACCCATCAGCATCATTCACTGTGCGAGTTTGGGTTTGTAACCATGATATCAAGACTGGTCTTTCTACTTTTCTGTGGACATATTGCACTAAACCTGGGAAATGCTCAGAAATTGCCAAGAGGCAAGTAGCTATGACAACTTTGTGTTTTTTGGAAAATGTCTGTGTTTTTGCAATACAAATTTGCTTTCAGTATGTAAGGAAGGATTAAAGACTATCTGAAAAAGAAATGTAAGAGAAAGGCAGCCGGCAGGGAAAAATCCAGGTACAAGAAATCGTTGTTTAAAACTCTTAAACTTAACTGAAGCAAAGACCTAAACATATCCATTGTAGCTTGTGAATCCAGTAAGAATTGCCATGCAACAAAGAAAACTAATTCTAGTGCTTTTATGATGGTTTAGACAATATTGTGTAAGTTTATGGCAGTAAAATCTTCAAGGAAATGGGATTGAGTGCACCCCAAGTTGTTGGCAGGGGATTTCAGTCCTGTTTTGGAACAAAAGTTCTATGCTTTTCAGTTATATCCATCCTTATTAGTATTGCAATTCACTTCTGGAAGTCTGTATGTATTCTTTCAAGAGAAAAATGGGATTTATTAAGAGACTGCATTTCAAAACTCTGCACTCCACATGAAAAAAACCCCATGTCATGTGAATATTTGTTTTTATTTATATATATATATATATATATATATATAAAATCCCTCTGCTGGATTTTGGAAGTAGTTTTGCAAAATTGGAAGAGACCCTCCCCTTTTCCTTGTTAATTTGATCTATGTAACATTGGCATTTTGTGAGTATTCTATTGCTGCAAGAACAACAGATGTAGTGTAAAATTAAAACGATATTTCTAAATCTAGATTATGAAGTATTTTGTAGCACATTGCTGCATGTACTGCCAACCACTTTGTAGAAATGCCTATATAAGTCCTGTCTATGCTTTGTAGATGCATTTTATATCTGCAGACTGCTGCAGTCAGCAAAGTTTACAGGAGAAGCTGTAACTTTTTTTTTTATTATTTAGTTGCTTAGAGCCATGTTATGCCACAAAGCAGCGTCCTTGAGGACACCCTAGAGTATGACATACCTTAGGTGGGGGAATAAAGGGGTGCTGGGAGAAAAGGAAGATGCAACTCGCATCCCAAGATAAAAACATCTCAGGAGTTTTCTGTCTAGATGTTCCCTCTGATAATGTCTTGCTTTTTGGATTCCCCAAGACCACTGGAATTGAAGAATGTTGTGATAATAGTGAAGCAACACACAGACTGTGTTCTCTCATTACTGATATAAAAATACAGCTCAGTTCAAATAGACTTTTAAGCCCTTAGTTCCTGCACACACACACACACACACACACGTGTGCACGCACACACAAAATCCGCCCCTTCTGGGTAAGTTTACACTAGAACTTTTGTGTCCTTACAATAATAAAAAGTAATTACTATCCGCAAACATAAGGTATTAGTATGCCAAGATTATACAGTACTTACATATGTACTGTCTGCTTTCGGAGGATGGAGATTTTCCAATGCCCACATTATGTGGATAGTATTATTTAACTTTCTGCTCACTTTGATGGGATGATAACCATGAGTATGTTTAACAGTAAAGTTCTGGCAACAGAGCTTCACTTTTCATGCTGCAATCCCAAGAGATGATCTCTGGACACATTCTTGCTTTGCTAATGTAACAAAGCAAAAAACAGTTCCACTTGTCATTTGCACTAAAGCAGCAGGTGGAAATGCCAGGTTCATGTTGTTTAATTGACTTTTGAAAGGGCTCTCCCTTTGCAAATGTATAAACAAACAGTTTCTGACCCTGGCAGATATCCTTTCAGATGATTATTTTTATTGGGTTGGACACACTGTACATTGGTTCCTGGGTTGTTTATCTAGGAATACTCAAAGATGTCTTTGTTAGTGCATTTCTGTTTGACTAGAACTGTGTATGTTTCCATAAATGAGCAGTATGATGATTAGATTTTAAGCACTTCTAAAGTAACAGAGGTTTGGGAGAGTTCTGTCTCATTAGGGTGGTCCACTCTGTCTTGTAAAATCACTCCATGGAGTACAAATGTAAACTTTTTTATATGTTCAGTCTCAGTCGCACACAGCGCTCCGGAGCCACTCCTACTGTATAGAGTACAGTAGAGTCCGTTTTGTATTACCTGAGAGAGGCTCCAGGCAAATTCGTTTTCTCGTAGTGGGGTAGCCTGTGATAGAGTCACAGTATAAAACTTTTAATTCTTACTGCTGCTGTGGAATCCCAGTTCTTGAGTCTCCTCTCCAGGAGGTGAAATGTACTGATCCCTGGCCTCATGCAATGGGATTTCCTTTCAATGGTCCAAGGATGAAATACAATTTTGCAGCTGTAGGGAAGGCAGCCAATAAACCCTTTGGATGTCAGTGATTTGAAGAGCCTTTCTTTGGAAAGACTGTCATATTCAAATATGCCTTTCATGAGGCTGGAATACACATGGCTCTCTCTTCCAGGATACTTATGTGCTGCCACCCGACAGGCACATGTTTGATTAAAATGATAAGTGTCTGTGAATGTTTTATTTTTCTTTGCCATTCCTGAGTTGTCCTACTAACAAACATTTGCTTTAAGCATTTCATCTCTGAAAGTTAGTGCAATGCTGGAGGAATGTATTGGAAACCTAAATAATTATATACAGAACATGACATTAAAAGAACTTTAAGGTTGCAGAGTCAAGAACTCAAAATAAGGAAATGCCAGAGATAAGGTTGCCACATTAATTCTGCCCCTGTGTGCACATGCACTAGAACAGTGGCTCTTAACCTTTCCAGACTACTGTACTCATTTCAGGAGTCTGATTTGTCTTGTGTACCCCAAGTTTCATCTCACTTAAAAACTATTTGCTTACAACACATCAGACATAAAAATACAAAAAAAAGGCACAACATACTATTACTGACAAATTGCATACGTTCTCATTTTTACCATATAATTCTAAAATAAATCAATTGGAATATAAATATTGTACTTACATTTCAGTGTCTAGTATATAGAGCAGTATCAACAAATCATTGTATGAAATTTGAGTTTGTACTGACTTCGCTAGTGCTTTTTATGTAACCTGTTGTAAAACTAGGCAAATATCTAGAAGAGTTAATGTACCACCTGGAAGACCTCTGAGTGCCCTCAGGGGTACATGTACAACCAGTTGAGAACCACTGTATTATAATACAGTCTTATCGAACATCATGTAAGAGCTCTGTGACAGAGTGGGTAACTGAGAAGTTCCACATGATTATTTCTGTAAAAGCTAGAAATAGAACCCAACTTCCTGGTTCTCAGGCCAGTGCCTCGAATAGAAGAAAACATCTTTTCTCTTGGAACTCTTCACCACATTCTTGTCCAAATAATATGTGGTTAAAGACCATATCATAATACATTAAGGTTTGACAGACTCTAGTACTGTAGGAAGGCTAAGTCTAAGGGGATTTTGTGTTTTGCTGTGAAGGCACTGTGGTTCATAGCTGTCCCCCCTGTATTGAAATTCAAAATTAACATCCCATTCAGATGGATAGCGTAGGTCACAGCTTTAATTTAGGCTGGCTGTTGAGTCAGGAAGAGCTCACCACACCAATTACATGTAGTCCATGTTTGGAAGGTTTTCATCACAATCACAAGAGCTAGAATCTTAATTTTTAATAAGCGACAGAGTCCTGTGGCACCTTATAGACTAACAGAAGTATTGGAGCATAAGCTTTCGTGGGTGAATACCCACTTTCTTTGTCGCTTTTTACAGATCCAGACTAACACGGCTACCCCTCTGATACTTAATTTTTAATGAAAATTTAAGATTTTCAATAATATGATAGGAAGAGGTGTATTCTGCCAAAGATAGAGAACTGTGAATAAAACAATATAATCAATACTTAGCACTTATATTCTGCAGCTCTTTTCATCTTCAAAGGGTTTTGAAGGCATTAACCTCCTGGTACTCACTGAGGTGTTTAACCACATCTTATATAACCTTACAGATCGCTTTATTGTCAAGCTTTCCCTGATTTACTGATCTATCTTGGTGAGCAATTTGAATTGAAACATATTTTTTTCTTCTGTACAGATAAGCCAAGTTCAGAAGTTCTCTATGATCTCACATTTCCCCCATCACACAAATATTCTGATGTGGAGACCTCCCACCACTGTTACACTTCTGTGCAACACCATCATATCTGACCGAATGGGTGTGGGGGTGTGGTTTGGGGAAATACAGATAAATAGATGAGAAAAGAGAAATGGCTTCACATGAGGGAGGGCTACCTGAATTTTCCTTAAATTAAGGAAAGCGTACAACTTATGTGGCTGTATATAACAGAAACATTCTCTCTTCTATAGATAGTGACAGAGTGCAAAAGAAGACATGGCACTGAAGAATAGTTTAATAAACAGAGCAGAGTGAATCTGAGCAAAATGAAAAATCTATTCTAATACATCAGGACTAAACAAGTTAAGAATAGGAGACAAAGTTTCAGGGCACAATCCACAAGATTGTATCTCCTTGTAAACCATATTTCTCTGGCTCCTATTCTCTTAGGACATGATCCAAATGCTTTTGAAGTTAATGGGCTTTGCAGCAGGCCCATAGTGTTGGTAAAAAGCATTTTATTGTTTTAGTTTTCTGGATGGACTTTCTGTGGACAGCACAGATGTGCATAGAAATCAATTCTCTTGAGCACCACGGACGCTGTGTTTAACAGACACTGCCAAGATGTTGTCTGCAGAGTGCAGTGGAAGGCAGTCTTGTTAGAAGTTGGAACCCCATCGCTGGGGAAATTCAGGTCAGCTTTTCCTTATCCTTTTACTTTCCCAGATGACTGTAACCAGACAGTAAACACAAACTTGGCATCAGATGGCCATCATACTTATTCTTTCTTCTTCTACTCTCTCCTATAATCTCACTTTCTCTAGCTGTTTCCAAATTTAGAATGGGGAAAACTAACCTCATGCTCTTTTAAAAAGCGGAATGTAAGAAGTTGGGAAGAGTACTATAAATACAGCGATCACTCTCCAAAAGCTGCCTTGTAAAAATAAATAAGGTTACTTCAGTATGTGCACTATTCCCTTATAGTACTCTTTTCTTACAACAGCAAA